AAATAAATAATTTAAATTATAATTTTAAATAGAAATTAATAGATTGTTAATTATAAAAGTAAGTATATATAAATATATTATTATTAGTATTATTATTTGTAATATAAAATTATTATATATTATTATTATAGTACAAGTCTGAGATTGTATAGTTAAGGATGACTTAAATGAATTAATTTGTACAAGTTATACTGACAACATACGTATACATTTTGGTAACTTATCTCATCAGAACTTCACAGTTAAGCGTGCTTAACTTGGAGTAATATAGGGATGGGTGACCTCTTGAAAGACCAACATCCCTCTCAACTTATTGTCTTAATAAAAGGCACAAATTTCGTCACAAATTTGTGACGGAGTTAATCTGTCACAAATTCCGTCCCAAATTTGTGATGAAGTAAATCCGTCACAAATTTATGACAAAAAAAAGTCCCTTATTAAGTTCGTCACAATTTGTGATGAAATTTTATTAATTTATGAACATTTAATATTAGAAATTAGTGACGGAATTGGTTATGCCTTAATTTCGTCACTGGTTGTGACGAATTCAAATTATCCGTCACTAAATATTTTAGACGACAATTTTTGTGACGAAATCAGGTTCGTCACAAATTCCATCACTAATTTGTTTTGTGATGGATTTTATAATATTTAGTGATCAATTTTGTTCCCTATCTAATTTTAATTTTTCTAGTAGTGCAATAAGAAAAGCCACATGACCCCCACATCACTATGAAGTTTTTCCTTATAAGAGATGTATACTTTTAATACCAACAATCCTAGTACATCGATCCACCACTATTCACGATATGCCTCAATAATCATTTTGAGTTATTTAACGAGTTGCAATTATTTATGACATTAATATCATTAATAATTAATTTATTATTATCAAACAAGTTTTTAGATTTTGAATATCCATTTATTTATGACATTAATTATTTCCTTCTACAGTAAGGTTTATGCATTGAGCGTGGTGGGTGAAATTCCGGAAGAGTTATGGACCCTAACTAACCTCACAGAATTGTATGGTTTCTTTCGTATAAATTTCAATACCTAGTTTTGAAATTTTTGTTATTTGCTTGACCAAGATGAACAAATGTTCGCATCTTTCACTTTGCTAAGCTCCTTGATTTGTAATTAGGGATATTCGCCAAAATCACTTGACCGGTTCTTTACCTCCAGCCATTGGAAAGCTAACTCGTATGGAATATTTGTAAGTGAGACAACTTAAGATCATCTACAATGATTGCATCTTAAAAAGTTTTGTTTAAATTTAAGCAATTGTATCTTAAATTATTTTAACATCGGATATGATTTAGTTGGCAGTGTCAGTTGGTTAGTTTTATGCAAAGTATCTTTCATAAATATGGTTGCCTAAAATAATTTTTTTTTTTCAAATCCAACCAGCAGCAAGCAACTAAGATCATGCAAAATTAACTACTAATAAAACAATATAAAAATGTAACACTACACCAAAACTAGTTTTTTGTGGCAATTAACTTATTATTTAACGGCCATATAAATGGCCATAATTTTTTTACCAGCATTTAATTAATGGCTGGTGTATCCAGTGTCGCTAATACTATTACCGGCATTTATATAAAATGCCGGTAAAGATCTACTAAATTGTCGGAAAAACTTATTTTTTTAGTGACAATTCTAGTAGCCATTTTAAAGGCTATTAAAAGTTATTTTTTTCAATTGTCTCCTTTACTTTAAATAATTTATTCCTATAATTTCATTTTCTAAATTCATAACTTATATACTTTTTTATCTCTACTCGATATGAAATTTGTAAGATGAGAGTTGTCTTTTCTTTATATATTTTTTAATTTATTTTTTAATTATGTTATCTTTTAAGCGATGTGAGATTTATAAGGTCAAAGTTGGTCTCTAATTGTTTTATAGCACTATTGAAGTTGGTAACAATGAGTGATTTGATACCAATTTAGAATAGTGAATTAGGAGTCAACCCTATAAAATGAACTTGTAAGGTGATAGTTATTACTCACTTATATACTATTTAATTATCTTATCTCTAATCAATGTGGGACTTAAGTTTTTTCTAAATAATTGTCGCTAATAGTAAACTTTAGTATAATATAAATATATTTTTAGTGACTATTATATATTAGCCATTAATATTTTTACATATGGTGGCAATTAAATTATTACCATTAAATAATTGTCATTAAAAATAAATTTTGTTGTAGTGTAAGTATCATAAGAATTATTTAAAATTTTATCATTAGTGAGATGCATGAGTTACTTAAATATGATGTATAGTAATATAGAATCCAATAAAGTAAAATAAGATACGTCTTTAGCAACTATAGTTGTGGACGCTCTAATTGAATTATGTACTTATTGTTTGGACATATACTTCTAATGTTAGACTGTATTCTTTCATTAGATCTTTTGGCATCAATGCTTTGTCAGGGGAGATTCCGAAGGAGTTGGGAAATCTTATAGAATTGAAATCACTGTACGTTATTTACTCATCCTTATTTAATTCCTTGAATTATTAATTTTAGTGAATGACTTTTTTTTTTTTTTTTTTTCACTATAAGGTATTAATTTATTAAGTGATTATTGACGACTTAATGTTGTTGCTCTTCTAAAGATTCCATATGAGGTGTGATATTGTGTTCCTTTTCCCTTTTCCTTTGAATGAGGTTCAATGATATGTATATAATTGATAAATAAAGAAACATAAAAATAATTGCGTTGCTTAATTTAGGATTATTTTGTTTGGGATGTCAGATATTGTGCATGTCGTAACCCATTAGTGACAAAATATAGTTTTGTTTGGCTAAATAAATTAATCAAATATATATTCGATAAAACATGTCACATGAATATCTTTTTATTTTTTATTTTTGTTACAAATCACATGAAAGTCTTATCATAAGTTTAATGAGTCTTATCAGGCTCATTTGAAGTAATTCTTTAATGATAAGAGTCATAAAATCTTTGTGAGCATGGTTAACAATAAGGTTTGACGTTGACATGATTTGAGTCAGGAAGAAGGTTAATATGGTGGTCATGCAACGATGTGATGGTAAACCTATTAGTTTTGAAAAAAATGGATTGGAATTGGTTAAGTATAACTTGAATATGTGAACTCTACATGAGAGGGTAGATTGAGATTAAGGTCAGTGTGTGGTTGGTGGATAGGGTTAATGGATAAAAGGTGTAAGGAATAAATGGCATTCATGTGAAAAGGATGAAAAATTTGTTCACAATTGAAATTGTGAAGGTCGGGTGGGTCACCGGTGAGACTAATAGATTAACTGTGGTTATTAAGGTCATGCAAGAGATATAAAAAGAGAAATAATGGGGCCAAGATGCACAACCAATTTAATTCCCAAAACAATGTTTCGCCCCATGTATAACTAACACGTAAATTGGGACACGAAACATGCGTTGATGAATGTCGATGGCCATATTGGAGCAACCGAAACAAAATATATGAGCACCATTACCTGCCATAACTAGAAAAGCAAGTGCGGGAGTTACTAAAAGTTGGCGACAATGGGAAATCCTTGGTTGCATAATGTTGTGGGAGCTTCTAGCGTTGATTAGTATAGTAACACTAAGGCCACCAATGAAACCTTGAAGTCTTATGGTTTTGGGTGATGGCTAGGGCTTGAGGAGAAATTAGCAGATGAATAGGTAATGAAAGTGTATCAAAAAGGATGATAGTATTGGTCTCACTCATGGTTACTACAAGTTCACAAAAATGGGAAATCCTTGGTTGAATAATGTTGTGGGAGCTTCTAGCGTCGATTAGTATAGTGACACTAAGGCCACCAATGAAACCTTGAAATCTTATGGTTTCGGGTGATGGCTAGGGCTTGTGGAGAAATTAGTAGATGAATAGGTAATGAAAGTGTATCAATAAGAGTAGTAGTATATTGGTCTCATTCATGGTTCTAAATTGCGGTTGTGATCATGGTTGTGACAACTACAATTGCGATCATTGCGTCTACTCGATGTAGATTTGCAGCTGTTATGACACAAAATTATTATATATTTACATAAATATAAACAAACAATAAGATCTCTTTATCTTTATTTTTTTTTTACTTAAAACATCTTTTCCCCTTAAAATACATTATGCACCTTCCAACACTCTAACTAACTATCATTAGTTGTCTTTCTCCCTCTTTTAACATCCTACGTGATCAAATTTATTAGATTAAAAGATTAAAACTTGAATTTATGTATGTGATTTGACATAAATAATGGTGTTACAGATCTATTGTGATTGTATTGCATCTATGTTGTGGTTGCATTGTGAAATTTTAAGTGATTTAAAATTGAGTTAATCATCTATACACTGCTAGTGTAAAGTTTTTTACACTGACAGTCAATCAGAGCCGTTAATAGTACCTTTTTTATTTTAATTTAATTAAATGAATGAGCAGATGAAAAGGTACTATTGACAGCTCTGATTGACTGCCAGTATAAAAAAAAATTTATACTGACAGTATATAGGTGATTAACTCTTTAAAATTATACTATAATTGCGAGTTGTTGCGGTTGCAGTGAACTCTGCAACAGAAATATAGCGGCCGTAATTATAATTGTGTATCGCAATTTAAAATCATGGTCTCACTAGTAATAGGCGGGGGCTCTTTAACAAGAAGGGGTTCATCCTCACTGAGAAGTAAGCAAAACTGTTTTTGGCTAATTTGTGTCTCAGGTAGAGTTTTAAAAAAAAAAAATTTTTTTATCACAATTGAAACATAGACCCTTGATAAGATTGATCTTGAATCTAAAAAAGTGAAGGGAATTTGATGGGTAATGGTTGTGTAACATTTGGTTGGGAGTAGAAGTCAAAGGAATAGGGTTAGGAAGTGGTAGTGGTGGTGGAAAATGGAAGAAGGAATGAGGTTTGGAGTCTCTGATTTTATCTTCACCCAAATGAGCAAGCTTTGTGGCTTGATGTATAGATATAAGTCGCATTAAGATGGCAAGTTCCCTTTGAATTTGTGGTAAAAGACCTGAAATGAAACCAATGTAAAGAGTTTCCTGCCAAAAAAAATGGTTAGACAATTTTTCAAATAGTTGTTGAAAATCAGTGATAGGGAAGGTTTGAAGTTTGAATATGTTACCCTAGTGATTTTTGTGGCTGGAAGGACCAAAACAATTTTTCAAAGCATTGATGAACGGATCCCAATCAATAAGTTGATGATGGTTATACATCCACTAAAACCAACTGATGTTAGTGCCATTCATATAAAACGAAACCATATATAGACATTATTCAAGTGGACTTGAAAAAAGGCAAAGAATAGAGATGGGGGATACCGATAAGTATAGAATTGCTTTCAAGGTGGTATGTAGCAGAAACCCAAGTGCATGGCTAGAAAAAGTTAAAATGCAATATCTTTTGAAATCGTTAATCCTCTAACTTTTAAAATTGGTTAAATTTTAAATGATTTAATATTTTAAAATTAGTTAAAACTTTTAATTGATTTTAAAAGTAATATAATAAAAAAATTGGTTGGAGGATGACCAATTTTAAAAGTGTTGACATAATTTCAAAAGAAAAATACCACATCATCTACTAATCAATTGTAGCATAATCGATTTTAAAAACTTGATGTGGTAGTCAATTTTTGCAGTAATGTCTAGATAACAATTTCTTTCTTTTTGTTTGTTTAAAATAATAGGTAAGGTGAGATTAAAGATTTTAAATAGGGTTTAATGAATATGCATTGTGAATGTAAAAGATTTTATACTCTCAACTAATAAAAATCTTATGTTTGATATAACTTGTAAGAAACTTAGCATACATGATGATTTATGATTGAAAAATAGTGTAAAAATACTTTATATTATTCTCGTTACCTATTCTAATTTTTCTTTAAACTATTATTATATATATAACAATGCTCAAGAAATTAATACTATTTATGATTTGTTGTTCACTTATTTGTAGAAGTTTTGCGTCAAACAACTTCTCAGGTTCTCTTCCATCTCAACTTGGGAATCTACTAAAATTAGAACAACTGTGAGTTCTCTAATGTCTAAGTTTTTTCATTTATAAGGAAAAAATGAAGATTAATCTTGAATAATATAGCATTTACAAATAAATTAAATCATAATATAAGTATATAAGTATTTTTTCCTTCTAGTTCTCCTTTTGTGCTCTTTCTATCTCCTTCCAAGTAATATTTTGATAATAGAAACAAGTTTTCAACTTCAGCACAAAAAAGTAAGCATATATATTTTTCTCAAAATTTGAATTTGATAAAACATGATGCCATTCGAAATTCATTTCCATCTAGTGGTATATATATATATATAAAAAGAGAGAGAGGAGACTTATTCCAAGAGCAAGTCTGTCTAAACTTACTTCACTCAATAACTCATGTTTTATATTAAATTTCAGTGATTTAATTGTTAAATTAAAAATTCTTGATGCATAAATCAAGTCTACAAATTTTAATAAATTAAAAATTATTTAATTTCGTTTCATTAATTTAAATGAACATATATTATACTCTTATGATTATTTATCAATTTAAATTAATTAATTAACGAAGTATCAAATAGCTTTCAATTTTTTAAAAAAAATTGTAAACTTGATCTATGCATTAAGAACTTTTAATTTAATGGTTAGATAATTAAATTTGATGTAGAACATAAATTATTGAATGAAGTATGTTTAGGTAAACTTACTCTTAAGTAAGTAGATCCCACTTCATATATATATATATGACTTGATAGTTAAAATTTATTTATTTTTATTGATTATATATATTTTTTAGAGAATTTCTATGATACCCATCTTATTTGAGAGGGTACCGGTACAGTTTTTTATATTTTATATTTTTAATAATTTATTTAAATAATATTTATGATATAATATTATTATATATTTAAATAATTTAATTTTAATAATTTTTTAAGTTTATTTTTATTTTTTCACTTAAATTTTTTGAATTTCTATATTTTAATTTTAATAATTTTTTAAGTATTTTTTTTTTGTCTTTTTGTCATAAATTTTTGAATTTCTATATTGTAATTTTAATAATTTTTTATTTTTACTATTTATTAATTTTTCTTTTTTTTAATATTTTATAATATTATTAAAATCTTATAATTTTAATTTTTATAATTTTATCTTACTTTTTATTTTATAAGTATAATTTGGATTATTCATTTTATAATTAAATTAATTTTTTTAAAATTTTTGATGAGTTTATATAGAAAAATGTATTGAAACCCTTCCATCTTTGAGGGTACCGTAGCAACTCCCAATTTTTTATATATGCCATTTAGTTCCATTATCTCAAGTGTTATGGCATTTCAAAGTAATTTTCTATATCTTTACATAGATATTAGATACTACAGTTCCAAGTATTCTTAATTATTGCATACTGAATTTGAAATCTTGAGTAAGTTTTAGATAGTGCAAATAATTTATTTTTCATATAAAAGTAGTGTTAATTATATCTCAAAGTGAAATAATGAGATACTAATTTCAAAGAATATTTTCTTTTTGTTGTAGTTACATAGGTAGTTCAGGAGTTAGTGGTCCAATTCCAACCACATTTGAAAATCTGAAGAATCTGAAGACAGTGTAAGATATTTCTACGATCCCTGTGTATATAATATGATAATTATTGAATTAAATATGTACTCGTACCTATAAATTTCCTAAATATTTATTTTAGTTCCTATAAAATATTTTAGCTATTTATCATCTTTAATTTATTTTTTGTTAGGCATTTTAGTCCATGAGGTCAAATAATATTGCACATGTTAAGTTATAATGTGTTTAATGAAACTGTATTTCATCACTTAACATGGACTCTTTGTGTGATTAGCCAGTCACATGGTGACTTGTCTGGCATAAGTCAAGTTTCAATCACATGATAAGTGTTACATATATCATTTTAAGAATACTTTTCATCTCTAAAAATTTTTAAATTAAATTTTGATTTTAATTCATATAAATTTCAATTTTTTTTATTTTAGTCTTTGCTTAAAATTTTATATAATTTTAATCATTTTTTAAATCTCTAGTATGATTTTTATCGCTTCCAATTTCATCTCACCATCATCACATAATATTATTCAAATCAGTACAGGGATTAGATACAAAAGTGGAAAATTGGAAATGAAAACACGTAGCCCGTCAATAACAAACAAGTGAAAAAAATTAAATTGCAGGGCATATAATTTAACAATGATTTTCTTATACGAAAATGAAAATAATCCATTTTAATTATTAGATAATAATAAATGGCTTAAATTAAAAGACTCACTCAAAATTATAATCACATCCATAATTTTCATTGTTACTATCATCGTTGTCATTATCGTGAACATGGTGGTGGTAATGAAAACACAATAATAATAGTAGAAGTTGCGATTTTAAATGAGTCGTTTAATTTAAGAAATATATTTTAATCTAATGTTTGAGATTTATTATTCTCATATGATGAGCCTATTCTCTTTCTTTTATGTGTATATGTATGTGTGTATGTGTGTTTGTTTAAAGTTTCATATACATCAACAACAAATGTAATTAGTTACATACCTTGGCCTTGCCTGGATGCACTCCTTCTTTTGGATTCATGAATTTTGCTTGTTTCGGAGAAATCAACATTGAAGACTGTTGAATAACTCAAGAATAATGAAAAATAATTGGAGAATAAGATGAGAAAAAGAGCTTGGCAATTCTAATGGAATTGATAAGATCAATGAGGATCAACAACAAGACTTCAACCAACCTTGATTCTCATCAAGGTTCATCAAGGAACCAAAGAGAAACTCATCAAAAGTCCTATTTCATAAGCTTCAATACTTAATTTCAATTAATCAAAATTTCTTTACAATGTGTTATAAAAATATATGTATACTCTCGTCCTTAGAAGATCCTAATTAGAGCTTGAATCCTTAAATAAGATCAGATGGCAGTTAAAAGACACTTACAAAAACTTAAGTAAAATTCAAATCATCATTAACTTAATGACGAAATTTTACTTAGTAAAAGATGTTTGCTCAATGAAATCAATGGATACCGCTTAGCCAATATGTTAACTCAACAAATTAAAAAAAAATTGAACAAATAAAGAGAGAGAAATTCGCTTAGCAAATATAGTTTGCTTAGAAAATTTAGAAGTTTGATAGATATCAAAATTTGCTCAACAAAAAGATGTTTGCTCAACTAAAGTTTCAGTTCGTGACTAATTTTTTAGTCGCTAATTTTGTCTCTAATTTTGTTGAAACTTTGACTTTATTAAATGTCCATGTGAAATTAAGTGATTTATCCCTCACTTATCTTTGGCCCTCCAAGGTCTTCAAAGGAAATCCTATATGGATTATAATGTCCCTCCTTGATTAGTCATCTTAGTCCTTTATCAAACCTTCATTCTTGAGAGAATTTATCCTCAAATTTAACTATTTTATTCCTACTTGAAGATAAAAATACAAGTATTAGTTTTCATTTTGAATATGAAAAATCTTCTATGGAAACTTGAAATCCTTGGAAGGGAAAGTCTATTATTATGCATGTCCTTGTAGATTTGAAACCTCCTATGTAAAATACATGCACAAGGAAGTCATCAATCAACATAAGGAAGGTGGTTCACTTAGCGAATTTAAAAGTTTGATAAGGAAAGAGATCAAAATTTTCTCAATGGGAGGAAGTTGGTCCAACAAAATGTTTAGTTATCAACTTTTTTGGCATTCATTTTGTCTCTAATTTCTTGACAACTTTCTTTGTTTTGGATTTCTTTTTAATGACTTCATATAATTAAGTGATTTAGCCTTCTTCTTTAGACCTCCAAGTTCTTCAAAGACATCCTAAATGGATCTTCACGTCCTTCTTTGGTTAGCTACCTTTGTTCTCTACCACCCTGATATCGTTTGAGTTTCTTGAAGTTGTTGAAAGAGATCTAAGTGTTTGAACTCTATAAGCTATTGAATATTGTAAAGGAGAATGCAGTAGGGATTTGATACCCTATTATGATCTAGGTGACCTATTTTTTTTTTTTTTATTTTAAAAATCGAATTATAAAAGCTAAACCAATTTTGAGAAAAAATTTTCGTATTGGACACACTTTATAAAAACAAAGTTTGGTTAACGGAAACATTTTTATAAAACAGTTCAATTTATCTTTTGAAAAAACCAAATCTTATGTGAATATAAAGTGGATAACTGGACAAAAATGAATTAAACATTTTTGAAGAAAAAAAACCAACTTAATTCATTTTATAAATTATGTTTAGTTAACCAAACAATTTTTATTTAATTTGTTTTGTTTTCTAAAAAGTATGAACCGTGCACAATCATAAGGTTATTTGGTTCCATTTCACTTTTGTTGTTAATCCCCTATAGTCATTTCAACAATAATATATAATTATTTTCATGAGGTAAAAGGTGAAAGTCAATGAACAAGTGATTAGAAGTTTCAAAAATGTTTGAATCAACAAAAAAAATTGATTGAATACAAATAAATTATGAATTTTATGGGGATTGATACCTACATCAAAAAATTTCTTGAAAAATTCTTCTTAAAATGATACAAAAACACTTGAATGTTACAATTATGTCTAATAAATTGTCACATGCATCACAAAAGTTGTCCATATGGACAATATTGATGTCTAAACTTCATTTGACATATTATAAACTGATGTATACAATTTAATCTTAGGAACCAAAATTTTCATTGTCAAATAAACGAGATGAAATAAGGGTGAAATATTTTGTAGACTAAAAACAAAAATTGAGAAATTTTCAGAGTATAACTATATTTAATTATTAATTTTTTTGCATAAAAAATAAGCATGAATGATTTTGATTTTGATTTTGTTTATTTCAGATGGGCTAATGATGTGGAACTTACAGGAAGGATACCAGACTTCATTGGAAATTGGTCTAACCTTAATTCCTTGTAAGAGAACATTAATTACAAATATGTTTTTTTTATATGTGTGTGTGTATATATATATATATATATTTTTTTTTTTTGTTGAAAAAAGATAGATATGCTAAAGTATTACTACGTGGACAAGAGATCCTAACTAGTTAGCACCTCAGTCCACACCATTCATCTGCAGCATATCAAAATGAACTAAAATATAAAAGGAATGTAAAAGTACAAGTGGGGGGACTAAACCAAAACCCACTATAAAATGCAAAGTAAAGAAAAGAAAAAAGAAATGTATCATAGGTCGAAGCCAAAGTACACCAACAAAGTATGCAGTCTAGTCAAATACCAATTACAAGCAAACTTGTGATCACATCAAGATAATTTGGAAGACTTAGCTCTCCGAGATCTAGTCCTAGGTATTGAGATTCATGGGGTAATGAATCAACTCAGCTTTGGAGTCTGAGAGTTTTGATGATAACAAAGGATGGATTCTGAGAGTTTTGATGATAACAAAGGAGTTGAAGCTGACCAAGGACACAAACCAGTCAAGAAAGGAAGATATGAATATCATGATGTTTAATAGGAGTAACTCATGAGTTGTTATGTGTTGTATTGTTTTGATTAGTTTATTTTTCATGTGGATGCTTTGTGCATGAGTTAATCTTAATTTAAATTGACTGAGAGTGAGTGTTATGATGATTTAAAATACTTGGAAAGATTTTTGAAGTATAAAATTGAGTTTTTGAAAGCTAACTCAAAATAATTGATTATCATTAAGTGTAATCGATTATTCCAGCAACAAGTGAAAAGAGCCTTGCTATAATAATTGATTATCTGTGAAATAATCGATTATTCCAGGAAGTACTATCTGGAATAATCGATTATCCTGCAAAATAATCGATTATTCTGTTCTTGAGTGGTTTCTAGAAATCATGAAGAACAAAATAATCGATTATCCTTTAAAATGATCGATTATCTGGATCTAAAAACTTTATAAATTTCTTTCACACTTTGAAACTTTAACAAGTGAGATGAACTGAAAACAAAAGAGAGAAAAACTGATATTGTGAAGTCTTTGTGACCTTCTTAGAGTGTTTTCTTTGTGAAACCAAGAAGAGAAACATTTTGTGAAATGCTTTGAAAGAAATCATCATCATCACTACATTCTTGGGAGAGAAAGGATTAAGATTTTTTTGGAATTCACAGTCTGATTTGTTCAGCTTCCAGGTGAATTCGTTCCTTTAATTCTTTGTGTAATGTGTAAGGAAAATCTTGAGTAGGTCTCTCAACTGGTAAGGAGTTCTTGTAGTGGGTTTCTACAAGAAGTGCTTTCTTGGGGGCAAGAAAGTGGTTACACTAGTACAAAAGACCCCTTTTACGTCGGGTATTTGAAGCCTTTTACGTCGGAAAAACATCAGACGTTAATACGGGAGACGTAAAATTTACGTCGGGGGTCAAAAACCGACGTAAATTTACGTCGAACATGCCAAGGTCTGACGTTAAAAAGTCATAAAAATAAAAATAAAAAAAGAAAAATGAGTGCAAGCAGAACGACCCGTTCTCCTTGGAGAACGGCCCATTCTGCTTGGAGAACAGTTTCTTTCCTTCCTCTCCTTATAATATAATTACTAATAATTAAAACATAATTCTCCCTTTATTAAATACATGAGCATATCCATTAATAAAATATATTTCGTAAAATTACTAATGTATTACTAATCAAAATAATAATTAAAAGTCATGTCTCATAAATAAAATAGAGTTCTTATAATTAATTAAGTAATATCCAAAACTCTAAAATAATTAAATTACCTCTCCTTATAATATAATTACTAATAATTAAAACATAATTCTCCCTTTATTAAATACATGAGCATATCCATTAATAAAATATATTTCGTAAAATTACTAATGTATTACTAATCAAAATAATAATTAAAAGTCATGTCTCATAAATAAAATAGAGTTCTTATAATTAATTAAGTAATATCCAAAACTCTAAAATAATTAAATTAAATACCAAAATAATAATTACAAATCATGCTTTATAACAAAATAGTGCTCATATGAATATATAAGTACCAAAAATCCAAAAATAAATACATTAACATACTGAAATAATTTCAAAAATATTATTAACATAAGGTATGAAAACTGGGATGTTACAGTATGCAGAAACAATTCTTAAATCAGTACTAATATAGGAGAAGTCTTTGTATGGAGAGGTTAAGAAAAAGAAAGGAAAACGATTGTTTTACCCTCTGATTGTTGCCCACTCCTCTTTCTCTCCATTCTTATCTTGTTCCTATTAATTTTAATTAAGAATTATTTATGACATAAGCAAAACTTATCACCTAAGCCCATTTTTCCTATAAATACCAAACTAACTCGTCCTCATTCTTTACACACAAACCCATATCTCCTTACCCCACTTTCCTCTACAAGAGTTCCAAACTGCAACCCTCTCAATCTCTCATTTTTTTTTTTCTTTTTCCTTCTTCTAAACACTAAACCATCTTCCATCTCTTTCATCTTCCATCCAACAACCTTCATCACCTTCTTCCTTCTTCCACCACAATTCAAGAGCCCCAAACCTTCTATTTCCTTTTACTCATCACCTTCAGTCACCCAAGGTATGGGGGAGTGATGATTGATCTCTTTAAGCTTTTATTTTACTCTATTATCATTTATGTATATCTTGTTGATTAAAAATGCTAATTGATCCTACATGATCTACTACTGTTATGAAATTGTTGGAATATTTTTAGATGTATTTTTATTTAAATTTTCTTAGAAATTAATGGAAGACTCTACCAAAATATTTCCAAAATTTTTAAAAGTAGTTTCATATTTTTCCAAAACCAAGAACTTTTACCTAGAAATCTATCAGTCTAGATCCGGATTAAACATGACTGAATCAAAATTTCATAACTCTCGTTCTACTTATCCAAATGATATGAAACTAGTTTTGAGTAGGCACTAAGAACCTCTCAGAACCACTTCCAAGAGAAATGCCTTTACAACAAGAGAAAGAATTACAAAGAAAAAGAAGTAAAGCCTAATTTATTACAACTTCAAGATCCAAAGTTTGTTTTCCTACACAAGGAACAAATAAGTGTCAGTGGTAAAAATTATTGTTGTAGTCTTTGCTCCTCCTAAATGTTTGAACTCAAAATCCTTCAAGGCCAAATAGTATCTAATGAGTACTTCCTCCATGTTCTCCACAAACACCTTAAGAGGCTACCTTGTGGTAAAGAGCTTCTAGGCAGACCTACACTTCAAAAAAAATGGCTCAACAAAACACTAGAGTGATGGAGTATTACTTGAGAAGATGAATTGTTGAAGTTTTTTAAGCTTTCGTTCTCCTAGACCCAAGCATCACCTTCACTACTTCTCCTTCTCCAATGGATGTTGACTAAAAAATAATGAAGAAATGTGTTGAAAGATGGTGCCACTCCTTCAAGATGAAGAAGATAAACCAAACAAAGAACTCACCATAAGTGAATGAATCACTTAATAAAACTTTTTAGGTTGTTGAACATAAGAACTCTTGGAGACTCTGTGAGAGAATTTGATAGAGTAATTTATAAATCAAAATCTATATATACTCAAAAAAGTGCCTGAATTACAGGTCGAAATGGCTATATATAGGATAAGGTAGTTTGTGGAGAAATCTATGCTAACTAAGGTTAGAACTAACCTTGGTTAGCTTAGTCTAACTCCATGTGAGTTGGATTTTGAATTTGAATTCTCTTTCCCGCCCCCATAAAGTCACGTCCAAAATAGGGAGAATGAAACTCAAATTCTGTTCAAACTCAACACAAATGAAAAAGGAGGGAAGCATATAATAGGTGTGACAAGTGGGAAAGGCTAGGCTACACTAGGATGCAAAGTAACAACCATGCAACCTAGTAATGTGGAAGCCCATGTGCAGCCCACTAAGCACTTTTATAAATGCTAAACAAACCTTTTTCAAATGCTATATGAAACCCCTAACCTATAGGCAACATAAAACAAGACAATAGCCAAAATACAAGACTCAAGAAACCAGGACCCTAAAAATCAAGGTCCTATACCCTACAAACTATGGTCAAAATACAAGACCAAAAACATCCTTATACAATCACTACTAAAATGAATTACAAGTAAGAAAAATGTATAATAACGATAGGATCCCTCTAAGGTAGGGTAGGCCTCCAAAGATAGGATAACCTATAAAATAATAGTAAATGTTTTACAATTCTTTAAGCCAACTTTATCAATCTTTACCCTTTTTGGACTTATCTCTTCCAAAGTGATCCTTGGAAAGTAGGTTTTCATCAAAAAATAAATCTATTTTGATAATAAAAATATATATAACATGATTAATTAATACTATATACTATTATGAAACAACGGTAAGCTCTCTCTTTGTGCTAGGCAAAATTTCCATTGTATCTAAATCATCCTCTATACTATCAAAGATATCAACATTTATGAGTACAAAATTCAAAATTAAACAAGTTTACTCATTCAATTTACAGCTTCTACAACAAATTATAAAGTAGTAATAAGTCAACATAATTCTTAGTAATATACTTAGTATTTGGTAAGAGTTGGAACTAAGGGTAACCTCTCCTTATAATATAATTACTAATAATTAAAACATAATTCTCCCTTTATTAAATACATGAGCATATCCATTAATAAAATATATTTCGTAAAATTACTAATGTATTACTAATCAAAATAATAATTAAAAGTCATGTCTCATAAATAAAATAGAGTTCTTATAATTAATTAAGTAATATCCAAAACTCTAAAATAATTAAATTAAATATATTAGAAAAGTTTAAGTTGAAATAAAGATCCTTAAAACTTGATAAAATTTTTAAGTGTCATAGAATCCAATTCACCCCTCTTAGAGTGAGCCATTCTTTTCTAACACTAGGCTTATCCGGAGAGGCATTTTTGAGCTTAGGAATCTAAACTTTTTTTAGACTGTGAGACCCATATCTACAAGCTGCCTCAAGGATACGAAGGTCATGTTGGACATCCGGGTGATATTCAGCCCAATTTGGTTTAGCAACTATCTCAAAGTTAGGCTCGGTCCCAAGGATTT